CGACCTAAAAATATTCACGTATACTTCTGATAGAAGTGCTTTCAATCGAAAATTACCATTCGGTAAAGAATCGGGTCTCGTATCAGGCGCATTTGTGACAATCGACAACCATAAGAAACGAGTCACAAGGCTCGAACAATCGTATCTTCTCTTCCCAAATTGTCCAAGTTTGTGCACAATCAGAGCGTCAGTTAGGGAGACATCATTACTGTAGTTGTCAAAATACGGGGTGGACGACGAATAAAATGCCATTTGACGACGACGTCGCGGCGATCGAACGCGAGCGCGAACAACGAAAAATTCGTATATATCATACATATTATACACATTATATTCGCGGATAACGAGTCGAAGCTAGGCGACGGGTGTGCGTTTGCGAGAGGAATGCGTTCGAGAAGCGGCTGTGCAAGAAAATGTCAGGAGCGTCGGGAGAGCGTCGGGAGAGCGTCGGGAGCCTCTCTAACGCTTGAAACCTGTGCCAGGGCTGTCACGAATAAGGGGCGAGACATCCATAAACTTACGGTGGACCTCGGGGCTCACGGGGGTTCTGGGTTGGTTTTTCTTTTTACCGGGCCGGGCAGGTGCGAACCGATTTCTATAGTCTTCGCTCGGTAACGGCCGTCCTTCGTGGCAACCGTCCACGCCGAAGCGGCTTCTGCCGAACGAGTAACGAATCCTCCGCTCGAAACCGAACCAAACGAATCGTATCGGAGGGGAGCGTACTCTTATTTTCGTTTCCACCGCCGTCCTGTATTCTAATGAACATGTAGATTTTCTGTTTCCTCTCTCCCTCTCTCTCTCTCTCTTTCATTCCACCGCGAGACAACTACTTTGTTGATTGTGCCCGATGTTTAAATGCAAAGCGGGCTCGCAGTTCGTGCGATTCGTTCCGATCGCGTTTCAAGCGGCGACAACGACGACGACGACGACGACAGGAGAGACCGGGTCGTATGAAACGCTCGAGAAAAAGTCAGGTGTGCGCGATGAAAACGGGAGAAACGCGAAAGCAAGGACGACGAGCATCCGCCGGAAGTCGAAGGGCGTCGGCTCGTAACGCCGACGCTTCGGCGTAGGGTTGAGCGTTAGCTTTGTATCTGAACAGAGGGGCCAGGTGAGTCCCATGGACCCGGAATCTATATAACTGTTACCGATTCTGTGGAGCGATTCTTCTGCGGAACGGAACAATAAAATCATCCTTGACCGATCACCTTAAACCCCGACGGTTTAACCGTCCGCGGGAACGGCGGGGAGGAATCTTTTCTAGAAATTCTGTTCTCGGAGGAGAGGTGTATGTATCCTCGGGCCGGTGTGTTCCATTGATGATCGTTTTAGCGAGGATACGTGCGTCCTGGCCAACCGCTGGCCGGCCGAGGAGGAACGAAGCGGCCGCGGCGTATCTGGTTGTTCTCACGAACAAGTTTTTCGTGTGAGTCACAAAACTTCTGTCGACGCGGTCTCTTCGTCCGCGTCGACAGGATCGACCTTCGAGGACCCGGTGCTCAGGGCAAGCCGATACGCATGCGAAATTTCATTCACGTGAGCGTCACGTACAACTCGGCGTTGCAATAACATTCCACGACAGCAGCAACAGCAGCAGCGAGCCGTCGTGCCACCGAAATTTCAGCGATCGCTGGAACGAACGAACGAACGATCGTGCACGACCTTCGTTACGAACGCAAAACGATCCGTATCGTGTCTACGATAGCCAGCCGTGCGCGTAACTATCGTCACGGCGCTGCTTTTCCCGCAACCTGAAAACAGATGACACGTCCTAGAGTCCCGCGGAACTTCCCAGGGCTTCGCTGCTTTCAGGCAGCGGAACCGACTCTACTACGGTCGTTCAAGGAGGCGTATCTTTTGGGGTGCATAAATGTTGGCGAGCACAAAGAGCGTCGCGTTATTTCGCGCACCGAAAAAGAGAAAAGAAGAAAAAAGAATGGAAGAACCAAACGTTTTCTACCACGGAGCCGGTTAACCCATTGACTGCCGCGCAAATTTAGCGCGTCTTGCCTGGGTGCCACTCGGGTTTTATTTTAAAGAAAACGCGAAGTTTTACAGAATATAATAATAATATAAAAATAATAATATATAATATATAATATATATATATATATATTTATATAATTACTCTAAACGCCATTGCAATATTATATATATTATATATTATGTATTATATATACTATATAGAGAATATAATAATAATATATAATATATATAATATTGCAATGGCGTTTACAGTAATTTTTTTTTATTGATAATCAATATGTTCTCCACGCTATATACATTTTTCATTCATCCTTTCTAATAGTTTCTAACTCAAATAGCCATTTGTAGCCAATCTAGAACTTGCAGCACCCACTACGAGATATCTCGTAGCTGGCAGTTTTGGTACAGTCGCTTGCTACGAGATATCTCGTAGTAGTTCGCAGTCAATGGGTGAAATATTTTTGCACGCGGTGTTTTCTTGTCCCGAACTTCTTCGATCGACCCGGGCTCCGCCGAGAACCAAAATTGTTCCACGCGTTCCGTTTCGCGAGCCGCTGCCTATTTCAATGAACAACCTCCGGCGTTCGTTCGGATCTCCGAATTTTTCTCTCGAATTTTTCTGCGGAGAGAACGCCGCATCCGGGTCAAAGTATCAGCCGACGAGCCACGACTCGCGCGAATCGCGAGATTACGATAGAGTTTAACGGACTGCGAGGGAACGGAGCTTCTTTCTCTTTATTCGTCTCGGAGAACGAGCGGGGCAACGGCAAATGGATTCGACGAACTTTTGGAAACGTTCCTGGTCTCCGTCGACTCGCGAAATCCGGCATTCGCCTGAACAGATTCGAGGAAGATCGGCGAACGGTCGTCGAAGCGATCGGCCGGCCCCGCGTCGTTTCCTCGAGGAAAAATTGCCGATCGTGTGCGCCGGTGTCAAGACGTTCGCTCGCGGAATTCGTTCTGTTCCGAGGACTGTTAAAACGAAAAAGCAGCCGGCCGGGACATTCGAGAAGCTTGGGGTCCGGCGCAGACGGTTCGCCATGGCTCGAGCCATGGCGGACCATTCGAGAAACCTCCGGACTCGTCGGCGCGGCGGCGATCGTCGTCGTGACGTCGATTTTCTTCGAAAAACGAGAGGACAGAACGACTACGTGGGTACGTACGAGGCCGAGCCTTCACCTCGATCGCGAGTTACACGCGCGTGTACGCTCACAGGTACAGGTAGACGAGCGAAACGGCTCGTAAGAGCGGTGGGAACGAGAGGGAGAGGGACGGAAGGAGGAGGGGGAGAGCGAGAGAGAGGAGGAACAAGACACGTGGAGAATCGTGCAAAATGCATGGGAGAAGAGAGGAGGAAGATGAGCAACGAAGAAGGAGAAAGAGGAAAAGAGAGAGAGAGAGAGAGAGTTAGAGAGAGAGAGAGAGGGAGAGAGAGAGAGAGTTAGAGAGAGAGGGAGAGAGAGAGAGAGGGAGAGGGAGAGGGAGAGAGAGATTGGATACGAGAAGGGGAGATGGAGAAGGAGAAGGCGCGAGAGATCGGTAGAGGGGTCATTGGTTGTTCGTTGCGCACTCAACGTATGGGAATCGTTATGGACCGACCATAGTCGTTGGAATGCGTCCCTTTTTTCCTTTTTGTGTCTCCCCGTATACCTGGCGGGCTGGTCTCGCTCCGTTGTGGCGGCAATGGTGGCGGTGGCGGTGGCGGTGGCGGCGAATCTCTTGCGGACAATCATGTCGGCCAGCGGACGATACGACCCATCGACCAGAAGGAAAACGGCCGTGGTCCTGCCAACAGGACGGGAGAATCGTTCGGTCTCGATCGGCGGGAGCAGAAGCAACAGGGCTACGGGGTGAGCAAGAATGGAAGAAGATCGGACGAGCAAACCGGATCCAGCCTCATGGTTCGACGTCGTGGAGAAGGAGGACGAGAACGAAGAGACGAAGACGATGCCGAAGTCGAAGCCGAAGCAGCCGGAGCCGGACGAAGACGTGGAAGAGGGAACTTCGGAATCGTTGGTAAACCTGCTGCGACGTCGATTAGTCGAGAACGAAGAAGAATATCGAGGAACGGGAGAAGAGAGAGAGAGAGAGAGGTAAAACGATCATCCGTGCGAAACAAGCGAGTACGAAAGTTGTAGGAAGGAAGTATCGCGAACGTGAGCCCGCGCGGAAGGACGAGGCCAGAGTGTAGCGCGAAGTAGAGGACTTCGGAAAAACCGCCGCGAAGAAAGGAAGACGAGGAAACGCGATAAAGAACGACCGGGAGAATCGAGCAGGTAGGAAGACGGAGATGCCTTCGATAATGCTCCTTCGAGTTGGCCGCGAGGAACAAGACCGGTCGAAGATCGGCAGAGAAGAGAGAGAGAGAGAGAGAGAGAGAGAGAGAGAGAGAGGGAGGAAGAGGTGTACGATACAGAAGACGTAGGTAGAAGGACAGGTAGAGCGACTCGAAGCGAAGGAGGCACGGAGGGCGGAGAGGGGGCAACACCGTGAACACCGGGAGAGGAAAGGCGAGAAGAGAAGAGTAGCGAAGACAAGACGAAACGAAACGAAACGGAACGAAACGAAACGAAACGAAAGGAAACGAGACGAGACCGACGAGGCGAAGAGAGAAGAGAAGAGAGAGGAGAGGAGAGAGACTCGTTTCTCGAGTATGTATGCCGGCGGTTCGGATCGGTGACGTCAGAACGTCGATTTGAACGAGCCAATGAGCGCGCGGAGCGAGTCCAGGGAGGCAGAAAGAACGTGGAAGGGGACGATGAGGTCTCGAGGAGGGCTTTGGACTTGGGGTTCCAGAGGTCCTGGGGTAGGGGTAGACTCGAAAGGTGCGTGCGGCCCAGGACGTGGGGCGCGGGGCCAGTTGATCAGTGAGTGCGGTAGTGATCTCATCTCGTACCGCGCCAGGTGTGACTCTTCCTCTCTTTCTTTCCTTCTTTCTTTCCTTCCTCTCCTTTCTCTCTCTCTCTCTCTCTCTCTCTCTCTTTCTCTCGCTCGCTCGCTCGCTCGCACCTCTTTTTCTCCCTTTTCTCTCCTCTTTTTCCTCCCTTCTTTCTATCGTCCTCTCATTTCCGTCCTCGAGTCTATGTGCCCTTGCTACGAGAATCGGAGGAAGAAGCAGTACCGCGGACTTAAAATTCATGAATCGGCCCGGCCGTGTCCTCGGCACCGACCAACGACGACAGGTATGACCCATCTTTTATTTATGGAACAGACACGCTGGTCTGATATTTCATTCTGCTGATACAAGCGCGCGCGCGCGCGCTTACACAACAGAATTTTACTTCGCGTCCGAATCACGGAGACCAGAGCTCTCTCTCTCTGCGATCGATTCGTCCGAGTCAAAGGTACGATCGGATTTGTTCGAATCTGTTCGCCGCGTCTAACGTTTATCGGATTTTTCTTTTTTTTTTTTTAAATGAAATCGTTGAAAGTCGACGGTTATCGACGCTCTGCCACTCATTCTCTCGCGCGAAACTGCCTCGTTTAATTTCGCGAGATCGCGTCGCTCGCCGATGGATCGTACAGATATAATAAACGCGTATCGAAAAGGCAGCGAGGTTTGTTACGGAGGCTCTCTTCGCGGTTCTCTGAGCCGCTTCTATCCGCTACCGATTCGCACCGTTTCGCGTGCGAATTTCCGCGGCCCTCCTAGCAACAGGTTGTATGTACGTGGCCGCGCAGCGCCGCGCCGCGCCACGCTGCATCGTGGAAAAATCACGCTCACCCGCACGCTTTTGTTAGGCCGTGTGCCCTCGGCTGGCCTCGAATTCGCAACGGTGTCGGACGGACTCGGTTCGACTCTCGAAAAAATCCGAAGCCCCGATCGCGCGCGCGACGTGTCGCGAGATATTCGCCGCCGCTCCCCGGTGCTCCGGCAAAAAATCGTGCGATAAACACGAGAATACCGTTGATTAATCGTTGAAGTCGCACGAAGGAGCAGCGATGGGCGCGTAAGGTTGTTCCTATCGACGCGACACTAATTCGAAGCTGTTCTCACCTTCGGCAGCGGCGTCAGCGCGAGACCGTAATAGCTGGCCGTAACGCGTTATTAACGAGACGGGAACCGATCGATCGATCGGATCGATTGGTTTGCCTCGATCGAAATGAAACGGAACAAGGATACATACGTTCGAGTTTTCCGCGAAGATCGCAGTTTCTAGAAGCCCGTGATTCGGGATCACGGAGGCCCGATGTATATATACATCGAGAGTCGAAGTAATCGGTTCCCGTAAAGGCGTGTCATGCTGCGCGTTGATTACCGCGAACCTGTTTGAATAGCGTTTTTTTTTCTCTCTCTCGTTAGAAACACCGCAAGAAATCGTCTCCGGTGTGCGTCACCGGTTCGACGAGAACGGCATAGTGCGCGGCGGCGGCGGCGGCGTTCTGGCATCGCGGAAGCCTGTATCGTCCGCGATCTTCAACGTGCAGGCGAATACATTCGAGATTTGCACGGTAGAGCGGCCGAGAGAAATAAAACGCACCTATACACACACGTACGAGGCGTTTCACCGCTCCGCGTGGACGTTACCGATCCGTGAATCCTCCGGTTCGGAATGACATCGATCGTTTCGGTTCTCTTAGATTCGGGAACAAAAATTCGTGTACCGTTCGCCCGGACAAAACCGCGAGATTCTCCATCTACTATTATATTTCTATTCATGCAAACTGTCCTATGAATAAGCCATTTTTTGTTTAGCTGGCGGTCCGACCTCTAGATCCAGCGGTTCGTCTCAACGAGCACACCGGTATCATCGACGTGTGTTGTGTGTGTGCGGTGTCGCTACACACGCGCCGTTTCGACAGTCGACCCAAAGTCAATAAACACACGTTCGAGAATTCGAATTCGCGCGCAGAGAACGGGCGGCCCCTGTTTTGCCTGTGGTTGGCCGGCGAACGAGCCGGAGTCGTCGGCGGCGGCGGCGGATCGAAAGCAACGCGATATATCTTCTGGATCGTTCTCTGCGAAATCGTCGTCGAATGGTTTCGGGACGAGACCCGTGGTCGCGGGTAACGCGGCCCCGAAGAATCCGCTCGCGGCACGAGTGAAATGAAATCAAATTCGATAAGTACACTCGAAGTGATAATGCTTATAAACGGGACGACATTAGCTCGACTATCTCTCGAGTACTCGTGCAGCTGTGTTTGCGTAAACGATTGGACGTCGCGTCGAATGTCGACCTCGTTAAGAAACCAATTCACAACGGGTGCTAAACTCTCTCGCCTCGTTGACTTTAGACGACCAAGACCACGACCCACACGATCCGCGATCACTGGCACGACCGCGGCCAAGACCGCGGAGAGAACACCCGACCGGGGTCCGGCCGTGTTCGTTATCGCCGTACCAAACGATGGGTGTTTCACGCGAGAACGGTAAGTTGCTGCCGCGGATCGCGGCTCCGCAGGGAACTGTTAATAAAATTGCAAACAGTTGATTAGGCTGGTTCGGTCGGACGGCCTCGGGATTCGCGCGCCTCGAACTCGTGATCGCGTCGTGATTCCGGGCTCCACGATTTTCTTGGAAACGCGGCCTTGTTTTCCGGCCGGCGAAGGTGCGATAATACGGCACGGATGGCCCGTAGGCAGGCCGTAGCCGAACAAATGGAATCGAAGAGACCGGCTTATCGTGAAAAGATAGGTATACTCGCGCTCGTGTTTACCGTAGGTACGCGTCAATGACAACGGTTTTTGCCGGCTCGGTTCGACTTCGCACGGATAAGGCACATTTCGCCGAGCGAGCGAGCCTCGAGACCAGATACGCTCGCGTCACCCTACTGCCCGCCGATTGGTCGGGCTCGAAGAAATAAATAAAATTCAGTTTTAGAAAGTACGGGGATCGATTATTTCTGAAACGAGACCTCGAGTCGCTCCGGATGATGATGGTGTTCCTGCAACGACCGGTAAGATAGCCTAGGAATAAGCCACCAACGGTCTTCCAGGTGAGTGTGTCGTCGTCGTCGTCGTCATCGTGGTGCCATGGTTTGTTCCTCTTTCCTTCGCTCCTTCCCCCCCCCCCTTCTTTCCTTCGTCTTTCATTTGTATTCTTTCTCGTGTTATACTCGCCACGGACCTTTTGTACTTTCACCGTCGGAAGAACACGGTCGCACACGGTTCACGATCAGGAAAAAAATCACGAGATCGAACGATGCTCGCCATGCGGAGAAGAAGACGCTTTTGTTTAATCGCGAAACGGAATCCGGATACACGGAGGAGGTCGGTTTCGCAAACGATCGAATTATCTGTTACGAAATTCGATAACGTTCCTGCAGCCGAGCCGCTTTTGTCATCGATCGGCCACGAAAATTGTTATTTAGTTTCGGGAATTTGTGCGCACGCTTTCGTGTGGTCTCGGACACGCGTGCTTTCTCGGTCGAGAATTTCCGTGGAAACGTGATCGAAAATCAAGGCTGAGTCGATGAAAAATTCGAGAAGGGAGAGGGAGACGGTAAGAGAGCGAGTAAGAGAGAGAGAAAGAGAGAGAGAGAGAGAGAGAGAGAGAGTTGTGTGCGGTTTGATAATAAAAGTCGAATCCAGACGCGAGCGTAACGCAGCGAGATCATAACTTTCTCCGAATGGAACCTCTTACGAAACTTCGTACCGGTCTGTTGGCAAGCTCACCGAGCGAAAACCGGCGCCGTTGGTATCGCGATACAATAGAAAATCACGGATACTTATGCAAATCCGCGCCGAACGTTAATCCAGAAGCAGCGAGAACGTGAGAGGAATTTTATTTCGATGTGCTTGCCAGAATTTTATCTCGTCGCGTAGTTGTCGGCGTTTTCGTCCCGCAAATTATTCTAATTGTAAAACGTGTCACGGTACTCTGATTCGTTGATACATGTCGAAGCGAGGGACGCAGCGGCGAGGAGAGCCGGGACAAGACAAGAGAGTCGCGATTGATTCGCGGTTAAACGGGCGATAAAGTAAAACAGCCGGTTTATCGCTGTCCACGCAGCGCTCGCCGAGATACGTGTAACTTTCGTTGATCTCTCTCTCTCTCTCTCTCTCTCTCTCTCTCTCTCTCTCTCTNGACCGGGGTCCGGCCGTGTTCGTTATCGCCGTACCAAACGATGGGTGTTTCACGCGAGAACGGTAAGTTGCTGCCGCGGATCGCGGCTCCGCAGGGAACTGTTAATAAAATTGCAAACAGTTGATTAGGCTGGTTCGGTCGGACGGCCTCGGGATTCGCGCGCCTCGAACTCGTGATCGCGTCGTGATTCCGGGCTCCACGATTTTCTTGGAAACGCGGCCTTGTTTTCCGGCCGGCGAAGGTGCGATAATACGGCACGGATGGCCCGTAGGCAGGCCGTAGCCGAACAAATGGAATCGAAGAGACCGGCTTATCGTGAAAAGATAGGTATACTCGCGCTCGTGTTTACCGTAGGTACGCGTCAATGACAACGGTTTTTGCCGGCTCGGTTCGACTTCGCACGGATAAGGCACATTTCGCCGAGCGAGCGAGCCTCGAGACCAGATACGCTCGCGTCACCCTACTGCCCGCCGATTGGTCGGGCTCGAAGAAATAAATAAAATTCAGTTTTAGAAAGTACGGGGATCGATTATTTCTGAAACGAGACCTCGAGTCGCTCCGGATGATGATGGTGTTCCTGCAACGACCGGTAAGATAGCCTAGGAATAAGCCACCAACGGTCTTCCAGGTGAGTGTGTCGTCGTCGTCGTCGTCATCGTGGTGCCATGGTTTGTTCCTCTTTCCTTCGCTCCTTCCCCCCCCCCCTTCTTTCCTTCGTCTTTCATTTGTATTCTTTCTCGTGTTATACTCGCCACGGACCTTTTGTACTTTCACCGTCGGAAGAACACGGTCGCACACGGTTCACGATCAGGAAAAAAATCACGAGATCGAACGATGCTCGCCATGCGGAGAAGAAGACGCTTTTGTTTAATCGCGAAACGGAATCCGGATACACGGAGGAGGTCGGTTTCGCAAACGATCGAATTATCTGTTACGAAATTCGATAACGTTCCTGCAGCCGAGCCGCTTTTGTCATCGATCGGCCACGAAAATTGTTATTTAGTTTCGGGAATTTGTGCGCACGCTTTCGTGTGGTCTCGGACACGCGTGCTTTCTCGGTCGAGAATTTCCGTGGAAACGTGATCGAAAATCAAGGCTGAGTCGATGAAAAATTCGAGAAGGGAGAGGGAGACGGTAAGAGAGCGAGTAAGAGAGAGAGAAAGAGAGAGAGAGAGAGAGAGAGAGAGAGTTGTGTGCGGTTTGATAATAAAAGTCGAATCCAGACGCGAGCGTAACGCAGCGAGATCATAACTTTCTCCGAATGGAACCTCTTACGAAACTTCGTACCGGTCTGTTGGCAAGCTCACCGAGCGAAAACCGGCGCCGTTGGTATCGCGATACAATAGAAAATCACGGATACTTATGCAAATCCGCGCCGAACGTTAATCCAGAAGCAGCGAGAACGTGAGAGGAATTTTATTTCGATGTGCTTGCCAGAATTTTATCTCGTCGCGTAGTTGTCGGCGTTTTCGTCCCGCAAATTATTCTAATTGTAAAACGTGTCACGGTACTCTGATTCGTTGATACATGTCGAAGCGAGGGACGCAGCGGCGAGGAGAGCCGGGACAAGACAAGAGAGTCGCGATTGATTCGCGGTTAAACGGGCGATAAAGTAAAACAGCCGGTTTATCGCTGTCCACGCAGCGCTCGCCGAGATACGTGTAACTTTCGTTGATCTCTCTCTCTCTCTCTCTCNCTCTCTCTCTCTCTCTCTCTCTCTCTCTCTCTCTCTCTCTCTCGTGAACTCGGTCTGGGTTAGGCGAAGAAACTCGCCGTGGAAGAAACTCGCAGCTACAGCAGCATGTATACACGCGGTTTCGAGTAATTATGACATAATAATGGCCGCGTCGCACGTCGTCGATCCAGCGGAAAGAACCGCGTCTCTTTGCGGACGCATCGGAACGAATTTCATCGTTGCCTCGGTCTCCTTCGAGCGACAGCTTTCACCACGGTTTTTTCTGTCTCCTTGCGTCGTATGTTGCGTCGTCGGTTGTCAGCGCTAACGATTCCCGCGGTATCGGCTCGAAAAACGCTGATACAGTTAAGCACGCGTTTCGAGGTCCAAATCTGAAACAGCTCAACTGCTTCTTCTTTTCGTTGCAGATCGCCTACGAGAGCCTGTCGGGGACACGTGCTGGTCGCAGCAGAGACTTTCGACGATTCGCTATCTGGATAGTCGACCGAGATCCGTTGGTCTCTGCGCACGCTGGGATCGGATCGCATCGGATCGGATCGGATAAAATCGGATCGTGAACAGTTCATCTCTGCGTTCCTGGGAAAGTAAGACCAGCTAGTCAGCCAGTCAACCAGTCCAGCCCCTCGACTACCGGCAGAGCAGGTTTTCGATGGCGCCGACAGACGATCGGCTGGAACGATCATCTCCCACGGAAGAATTTCAGCGCCTCGAGCGACGCACCGATCTTGGCGCGGACATTTTCTTTGGTTATCTAGCTGTATGAGTTTTGTTCGACATCATAAAGCTAGGTTACCGGAGTTAAGCTCCTCGCCATATCAGCTTCAACGATCTATCTCGTCGAGTTTTCGTCTCTAGGATACCGATGTGCAATGGTCTCGCGTAATCCGTCGCACGAATCGTTGGACAGATGAATAATCGATTTGTACAAAGTCTGTTGTAAACGATAGAGCATCGTTGTGGAACGTAGAGATAGACGATACCCAGCCTTTCCCAGAAAAAAAGCATGTATAAAGGAAAATACATTTGATTCGAAACAAAACACATCCTTCCTCAACATTGCCGAGTTCATCAGCGATTTGTTAACAATAAATTTTTACAAAAGCTAATCGATGATAAGAAGTCATTATTCCCTTTCTCCACCTTTCAGTTTTGATTTATTTAAAATTCGTAATTTACCGACGCGCTGGCGAAGCAACGAGGAAAAGACGAAAAAGAAGACGCGTTCAACGTGCTCCAAAGGTTTCCGTATTCCGTTCGCGCGTGAACCTACGAGTTAAGCATTTGTAATTGCTGGTAGTGTCATTTGCCACGTGACTCGATTACCTGTCGAGAATTTTTTCCTACAGTCACGAGTATCGATATTCTCCTTTTCGTTATGCGCGAACGTTTATCGCCGAGATTCACGATTTCGGATTGCTAAATTTCGATTAATCTGGTCTTGGCTTTCTGTAAGTTGCTTTTGCCAAAGTTAATATGATAAGAATTCTGAACCGTCAGGTTTTTGTATGATCGATGAGTAACGAGACTTTGTAATGAATCCTTTGAAGGTCTTAAAAGAGATACCATTCTATAAAGGGTGTTCGATTGTATAAATTATAGTAAATCATTTTAGCGAAGTAAAGGAATTTCTATTTTTAAAATCAAGCACAACTTACGGATGATGCTCGCTGTATCGTGTTTATTAAAACCGGACATAGCAGTTTGCAAAAGCCAGGATGCAGAAAGAACTTTGATTTGTTATCATAGCATGTGCAAACTTGATTTATTTACAAGAGTCATAGAGGGCGCCACGCACCGGCTTACGAGATTTCGATACCGACCGAAACATTTACGCGGTATAATGTTAATTTTTCTTCGCTACAAACAACACGTGTAATTATTTGACGTGTTATCATCGTTCTTTCGTTACACGTCATCGCACTCTCATTTAATACATATAAATATATGTATAAATCGATCGCTATATCTTCGTATGATAGTCTTTAGAATTTCATTCAGAAACTTCTAGAATATGTACATATTCATGATTCTCGATGATTCATCCTCGTTCTACGAATATTTTCAACGGATTCATAAAGTAGTGAGTAAATTGCAATTACAATGAAGGAGTTGGTTCGCAGAATACACCCACTCGGATATCACAAGGAAATTAAAAAAAATACTCTCTCATACAAAAGAAGGGATTTTGCTTTCTTTTTGTTTAGGGACACGAAGGATGAGAAGAAGAGTTTGTGAAACAAGTAATTAAATTTGAATAACTCCTATGAAATTGTCAAAGATTCCTGTTTTATCTGTGGCGAACAAGGTGGATCGATCGCGAACTGTAGTTAGCAAAATTGAAAAATGGCTGATTGTTTATTTCAATGACTGACAATGAATATTTGAAGGGAAACAGCCAACCCGTAATTAAATATCTACCTTTGTAATGTCCTAATAGGGGTTGCTTTGTTTTTATCTTGAAAAGTGTCTAATATTGTTCGATTCGTTCGACCCGAACAAATACCGGAAGTACCACGTTATGGAGAAAAGAATCGATGCGAATTTCATCAGCAATATTTAGCGTAGTTACGGTTGATTAATACAAACTCGTCCTCTCAGAATTATTTAAGGCTAATAAGACCATTCACGTATGTGTAAAATATTCGCTGATTAAAAATTCTTGAATTAGATTTAAATTTTACCGGATGTGAAGCGCTCGGAGAGGCAAAAATGTTCTAGAACGTTCTAGAACATTCTAGAATTTAAGCTGGTATATAAAGCGGAAACTAGTCGACGCGCCACTTCATTCAATAAAACACCAGGCACCCGGCAGTGTGTACGTGCATTCTTCGAGAATACGCATTTTAACGTCGCTTTAACTGAACATAAAGGTAAAATTGCATGGATTTGCATTGCATTTCACATCATTCTAAAGAATATTTTACGTGTTTTATCAAGTGTGTGCGTTATTATTGCGGTTCACTCAATTTAGTCACAAAGTAATTGCCATTTTAAAGGCGACTGAACTCTTTAGTTTTGTATTCTAGTTAGTTCGAAGGCGTGGACGATATTTGTTAACATTTTTATGGTCTTTGAGTCGTGTTTCGGTACATACAGGTTATTCGCCTTACAAATTTTGATTTTTGCACCACGTGTTCTTTTCCTCTGTCGAAAATGATTTTGTGTTTGTAATTTTTTGAACGCATCGATATTTCATACTTGTATGTATTCATGTAATATGTCTTTATGTGCATCTTTTTATATAAATTTGTTGTTCATTTTAGATGCCTACGGAAATGGATGTCGAAGGAGGAGAAGTAGAGACCTTTGCCTTCCAGGCAGAGATCGCTCAGCTCATGTCACTGATCATCAACACTTTCTATTCGAACAAAGAAATCTTCCTCAGAGAATTGATTTCCAACTCCAGCGATGCTCTCGACAAGATACGTTATGAATCCTTAACAGACCCATCCAAACTAGACTCTGGCAAGGAATTGTACATCAAGATCATTCCCAACAAGAATGACAACACTCTGACCATCATTGATACTGGTATTGGTATGACAAAGGCTGATTTGGTCAACAATCTTGGTACAATTGCTAAATCTGGCACCAAAGCATTCATGGAAGCTCTTCAGGCTGGCGCTGATATTTCTATGATCGGTCAATTTGGTGTAGGATTTTATTCTGCCTACCTTGTAGCAGATAAAGTCACTGTTGTATCCAAGAATAATGACGATGAACAGTACTTGTGGGAATCCAGCGCCGGTGGATCATTCACTGTCAGACATGACGTTGGGGAGCCTCTGGGTCGTGGAACAAAAATTATTCTGCACATTAAAGAAGATCAAGCTGAATATCTGGAAGAGAGTAAAATTAGAGAAATTGTGAAGAAACATTCCCAATTCATAGGTTATCCAATCAAGTTAGTTGTACAAAAGGAACGTGAGAAGGAGCTCAGTGAAGACGAGGCCGAGGAACCTGAAGAGAAGACTGAGAATGACGAAGCTAAACTTGAAATTAAAGATGTAGGCGAGGGCTCAGAAACTGAAGAGAAGGATGAGGAGAAAAAGAAGAAGAAGAAAACTATTAAAGAAAAATACACAGAGGATGAAGAATTAAACAAGACCAAACCCATCTGGACCAGAAATCCGGACGACATTACTCAGGAGGAGTATGGTGAATTCTATAAATCATTGACCAATGACTGGGAGGACCATTTGGCTGTGAAACACTTCTCCGTTGAAGGCCAGTTGGAATTCAGAGCTTTGCTCTTTGTTCCACGACGTATGCCATTCGATCTCTTTGAGAATAAGAAGAGGAAAAACAACATCAAACTGTACGTAAGGAGAGTATTTATTATGGATAACTGTGAAGAATTAATTCCAGAGTACTTGAACTTCATGAAGGGAGTAGTAGACAGTGAAGATCTTCCCTTGAACATCTCTCGTGAGATGCTTCAGCAAAACAAAATCTTGAAGGTCATTCGTAAGAATCTTGTCAAGAAATGTCTGGAACTGTTCGAAGAACTCACAGAAGATAAAGCTAATTATAACAAATTCTACGAACAGTTTAGCAAAAATATTAAATTAGGTATTCACGAGGATAGTACCAACCGCAGCAAATTATCCGATCTTTTGAGGTATCACACTTCAGCTTCTGGAGATGAAGCATGCTCTCTTAAGGACTATGTAGGCAGAATGAAGGAAAACCAGAAGCACATTTACTTCATCACCGGAGAAAACAAAGAACAAGTTGCAAATAGTTCTTTCGTTGAACGTGTGAAGAAACGTGGCTTCGAAGTAGTCTACATGACTGAGCCCATCGACGAATACGTCGTACAGCAACTGAAGGAGTTTGACGGAAAGCAGTTGATATCTGTGACCAAAGAAGGATTGGAACTTCCTGAGGACGAGGCGGAGAAGAAGAAAAGAGAAGAGGACAAGGCCAAGTTTGAGAATTTGTGCAAAGTAATGAAGAATATTCTTGATACCAAGGTTGAAAAAGTCGTTGTTTCAAACCGTTTGGTCGACTCTCCTTGTTGTATTGTTACATCCCAGTATGGCTGGACTGCCAACATGGAGAGAATTATGAAAGCTCAAGCTCTCAGAGATACATCAACCATGGGATATATGGCAGCCAAGAAGCATCTCGAAATTAATCCAGATCATGCCATCGTTGAAACTCTCAGACAGAAAGCTGAGGTTGACAAGAGCGACAAAGCAGTAAAGGACTTGGTTATTTTATTGTTTGAGACTGCTCTCCTCTCTTCTGGCTTCACGTTGGACGAACCACAAGTTCATGCTGCAAGAATTTACAGAATGATTAAGTTGGGTCTTGGCATTGACGAGGAGGAACCTGCACCCGAGGAACAGAAACCAGAGGATGTTCCTGCTCTCGTAGAAGCTGAAGATGCATCCCGAATGGAAGAAGTAGACTAAACGCAAGATCTGAATGACATGACAAATTGTCATTATAGTCATTAAAAGACTGTTATAAATTACCACGTTTTATGTGGTATTGATAGCCATCTTCATTTTCATTTCCTGTATCATATTGACCTTACTTAATTTATCATACCAAATTATGTTTAAATACCAAAAATTGTTTGGAATAAGTTAAACTTACAATAAAATAAAGTTTATTATACGCTATATGTATGAATTTGTGTATATACTGATTTTATTATTTCCTCTGTCCTGATGTGGTATTAGATTTAAATATGGTTGCAAAAATTAGAAGCAAGTATCAATATTCTTTCTAATTGCATAAAATTTTCAACTGTTTTGTCAGTCGTTTAGGCGTTTACGTACTTTAGGCCGTTGCTGTCAAGGTTAAATAATAGATATTGCTGCCACAATATACGAAGATAATTAAAATTTTAGTTATAACTTATAACCTAGTTTGAATTCAGAAATGTTGACTGAATTGACTGAATATAATAAGATAATATTTTTGTGCTTGTGTCATAAATACTCTGTATAATTAGTTGTAACACATACAGGTAATCGAAACTTATTTATTATGTTATGTAGTCGCCAAATTATGTCAAAAAACGCCATCTACCTGTAAGTTTGAATTAGGTAGCGAGAGAAAGAGAAAAAGAGAGAGAGAGATAGAGAGAGAATTCTGTCTCAAAAGACCCTCTGCCTTTAGACAGTTAGGTTTTAAGAAAAAATTATGATGGCCACAAAAGGTTGGAAGGTCAGTGCATTGGTATATAATTAATAAAAATTTACTGTATAATACTTTACGCATGCAAGATTCAAGATTTGGTTATGTTTGTAAAAACGAGATTTTCGTAGGTGGTAAAGCCTCATGTGCCGATGATTAAATTTCGTAAAGGTGGAATTACTAGAGGTAAAATTAAATTATTGATATTGTTAACTGTTTTTATTGAAAAGACCAACAAATTAATTTTTGTTATTGGTTAGCAAGTGGAGGTGCAACAGCCTCACCGTCTGCGCATTCAGGGGCGACGTCTCAGCAAACTATTGGCGGTGCAACCGGTCCCAACGTAACTGTTTTGCCAACAATAGAAGATATTTACCTTCCCCGACGATTCCAAAGACGACCAATAGATGAGAAAGAAATTGCATACATTAATGCAAGTATATTACTATTTTCTATAATTTTTTGTTTCCATATTAATAGAACTTATCATTTTAAATGATACATATGATACAGTGCAAGAAGCATTGCGATGAATTAATTTATTTTCAAGCACATGTCAGCATGTACATCAGATGTAACTCGTATAGAGCAGAGATTTTGTATCGTATTACTTTTCATTTCACAGAGAGGTGGTCCGGAATAAATTCATCAACCTGTGAAGCACTATCAAACCTTAGAAGCTTGTAAACAAGTCATTTGCATCGTAAGTTCATTTATACAATGTATTCTGTAAATAAATGAAATCAAAACAGGCAACTACATGTTGTACATATTTCTGTCTCTTCCTATCGGACAAGGTCCCTCTGCTTGCCTGTGTGACATTGCCAGAACCTGCTATTTCTGGCTAGCTTTTTGGCTCATTCTTGCAACAAGTGAACCCTATGTGTAAATCCCAAGAGAAGACCAAGGAATTTTTATGATATCATTTTATATCCCAATGCGCAGCATTATTTTTGAATTACTATTTTTAATTATTACATAACTAAATATAGGTTGCACATGTGTTGAAATTTCTAAAGCTAAATTTTGTATTTGCGTTGATATGATAATATACGTAAAATATTTTCAATGATTTAATTTTATACACAAATTATGTATTCTTTTATATTGGACATGTAGATTGGAAAGATTCTTTATTTATGAGTAGTTTTTTTTTTAATTTAATATTGATCGATAAATTAAAAATATTGTTTACACATTGTTTCAGTGGTCGAGATCAGTTTCGGTTTACTAATTTTTTTCAGATAGAATTCTTGTTTTGATTGTACCATAAATACTGGGACACACCCTGTATTTTTGGGCAAAAGCTGATAGAGACAGCCCTGGTCCCATGACAGAAATAGCAGAAGCGACAGTGCACTGTGTGTCTTCCATCCGCTCGCGATCCCTGGACGTGATTGCGGAAGAGATCAGAAATTATTTTACCTCTAATCGAAACTGCGAAATCTACACGAACGAAGAATTTACGAAAATGGCCGAGATTACGGATTTTGGGCCAAGGAAGACGATTTTTATCTTAGCTATTGTAGCCAGCTGCTTCGCGGTATTATGGCCGAAAATTTTCTATCCTATGCTCACAGCATCTGTCACACCACATCATACACCTGATAATTCTGGTAAGATTTTAATATTCCGACAAATTTAAATATTAAGAAAATATTTATGCGGAAATTCTATTCTTGATTTAATTCCACTTGTGTTATTATTTTTTCAAGTTATGTATTACTCTACGTTCACTGTTACTATTTTAGGTGCAATAATTTTAGCACATTTTCACAAGATATTGTTTATCTTATGTTTCTTGTTAATTATATATTTAGTATATGTTCATCTATTGATTTGTGTTTATTATTGTAAATTATTTTCATGTGTATTTATTAGCCTGCTGCGACGTAATATTTGAAAGCGACGTCACTGCTGCAGATATTATGCAGGAAATGTGTCAGAATATATTGAAGCATCATCAAGTTGATCCACGTGTAAGAGATGTTCTGTCTGTAAAACTGACACCTCAAAGTGCAAATTTATGTAGAGAAGAAATCTTAGACAGATGTGGTATAGATTTATTCACATTTCTTGCTGATAGAGAACGATTGGGAAAGTCTTACAAACAAGTTTTGGAAGAAATTAGATCATTTAATAGTTCTCTCTGTCTTAAGACACATTTTGGTATACCTCTTTCTCAATTAGGAACTCCACATCTCATCAGATATCATATTTTAATGCCACACAGTAAGAATTTTATTAAAAGTTTTATTTAAAACTTTCAATAATGGATACTAACAAGGCATTGGCATGTGCATTTTCATATTTAACTATTTTATGTAAATTGCATTATCAAATAGTTGTATTAATACTAATTTAAACTAATAATTTATATTATTACTCTAATAATTTAAAAACATGAATTTGATGCTAATAATTTCACAAATTCTCATATAGAAAGCAGATTCAAGTTATCTCTTCCATATTGGCAAGTTGCCAAAAGAGCAAACATAACTACTGTGTGTAGATGGATATAAGTTTGGCCTATAGTCATAGTTTGAAATACATTCCATGTAATGACCTTTTCCACTGATTGCGTAAATGAAAAATTAACATTGTTGTTCTTCTTTTTATTGCTATTAATGATGATAATTTTATGAAACTTAATAATAGGATAGCTTGGAGCAATATTTACTAACTATTAAATTTGTATATTGTTAGGTACAATACAACAAGAACGACGTACTCCTCCTCATGCTGGAGGCTTACATCCTGCTCTAAGAGAACGTGGGAGAGCCATACCATCCTCCCATATTGTACCAAAAGTAACAGATAGACCTGATCATGTGATACCAAAAATGAGACCACCATTGGGAGGTGCAGGTCATGTTGTTTCTGCACCAAAAGGAAGTGGCACAATGGGAATTATCATGCCATTGTATACTTTGGGCATTGTGCTATTTTTCCTGTATACAATTATAAAGGTAAAGCTAGCATCAATTTCAGCCCCATATTTATATTGTATTACTAAAAGGATTGTATTCTTTAGGTTCTGAAGAAAAGTTCGGATAGCGAAATCATTTCTGAATATCCTGGAGCCGCAGCAGAAAAAGAATTTCGGAAGATGGTATTTAGTCCTGAAGCTTTCGCTTCAGCGATGACTGGTGGCACAATGCAGTATTGTAAGGAAAGATCACCATCCCCTCACAGACCTCCGCCTACCATAGAGGAGTTAAAAGATCGTAAGTTGATTTTATGTTTACAGAAATGATTAATGACACTTGATTTATATTATCATTAATGCAGTGTTTTCCTTGAAAGCTATTTCCTTTAAAGAAATACTGAAAAATAAGGTACATGTTTTTTTGAGTATCTAATCAGATTTTTAAATGGTGTTGCATGATGCAAGGTTTGCACAATTAGAACACACACGTATTTATACTATATGAATCTAATCAAAAAAAAAAAGGAAAAAAAATGTTAGACTAAAGTTACAATTACTATAAGTGGTAGTGTACATTCTCTGAACACATTTGGTGATGTTATACATGCTGGAACACAAGAAGCGGCAGGAGACATAGAGATAGACCAACTGAGACGACGTTTGGTCGAGACGGAGGCAGCCATGGAAAGAATTGTTGTCCAGATGGGCAACATATCACGTACAGTTATGCATAGTCCGAGCTCGCAACAAGAACTTAAGGTTTACTAGAATAATTTTGAAGCAATTTATATTGTCAGTTCCTTAGCCTTTAGAAATATGCACGTTGTTGTGTTCTGATTGCGTTTCAAGCTTTACCTGTCCAAATGTACATTATATTCATACGTACATATTGTACATTTAGTAAGAGATCTTCAAAATTTTGGCTTCCTTTTCTTCTTCCATATTTCAATGCTTCTGGATAATCGTTTCTAAATCGTTGGTAATTAATGTTTTTTAAATGTTCATCTGTTCATCCGGGAAATGCGTACTCATATTTTAGCTGAGTGAAATACTCGTTAGAAATCTTTAAGTCACTGAATTCATTGAGTAATAGAATATACAGTTCTTATTTTTACATCTGAATAGTAGATGGACCTCCAAAGTCCCAAGGTCTGGCAGGGGTCGATCGCTCATCTAAGGTATATTCCTTGCTTCAGAAATTTTCTAACAAGTATAACCAAAAGTTTGTGGACGATTGTTCTGATTAAATTTCTATTCTTCTGCGTGTAATCAATTTACCGCATCAAAGGACTGTTACAACATGTTACGATGCTGAAGATTCGAATTTCTTAATAACAATGTTAAACATTTTTTCAGTAGTAATAGAATAAGTTAAAATACATTTTTATTCATATTAGACATAATTCATTTTTTAGTGCATGACAGTGCATTGTTATCATCTCTATCATAAGTGCAAGTAATTCTACATTAATTACATAAACATTTTTTTATTTTATTATTGCAGATTTACTCGCAGCATGGACTTTTTTTTTAAAGTATTCACAGTGTTTATTTTTATATGTAGTTTTATTTTTAGACAATGTGTTTGCTTAAGAGTTTAAAATATTAAAATTGATTACTTTTATTAATAAAATAATAAATATTAACATTTGCAGTGTAGCAATGATTAAATGCTGCAGCATTTACAATTAGATTATGTTGAAGAATATTTAATTACTAATTCGAATAATTAATTTTTCAGGGTGATGCTGTTGTCGAGGCCGACCATAGTCAAGCAGATGAAGAAGTAGCAAACATAGAAAATTCGCCAACAGTAAAAGTTATGGGTATGGAAATGACAGCTAGTTGCGAGGGTAAGGGTAGTAGACCTACTACTCCTATAATACCTGTTGCACCCAGGTAATAGTTATTCTGCTGATAATATATGTATTAAGTTTGGAGTTCTAATAACTAGGACCAATTGGTTTTAGCCATGTTGAAAGGGAGAAAACACCGCCTAAACCTATCTATTTAGAAGGCGCATTACCTCCGCAGTGTGAATTGCTTGTAACCGATTCAGAAACACAAGCACAAAAAGCAGAAGAGGATGCAGAAGCACCTGTTGTACTCTCAGGCAAAATGACCCTTTCTCTCATCAGTGTGGATCAAAATGCAGCTGTAAGAAAACATTAGCATTACCAACAGAATCAAATGAATCTGCGGAGCCTTGTTTTATTTGGTGATTCTTTTATTCATTTAATTGTTTGCTTCTGTACAAATTTCTTAACAAGAACATTGCAAATTACTAAAACTATATCTAGTACAACGTAACATGAAAATAACTTTCTCTTTTCTGTTTTTCTTTTTGCAACTACTGCCACAAATCTACAATTACAAAAAAACAACAACTGCAATAATAATTATAACGATGACTACTGTACTAATCACTTCAAATGAATTTTAGTCTGACAATGAGTTGAACATGTAACGAATTTTACAAATTTCTTACTACCACTTATACTTAGACATTTTAATCTCATTTGTACTCATTTAACATTACACTGATCGCACACAATATTAATTTGATTGAACTAACTATACATATTCAACAGTCGCATACTTAGCCCTTACACACATGTAATTACTTTTCCTACGGGACTACAACAGTTAGTACACACATGGATATTTCATTATAATCTAGATATCGAGATAAATAATGTAATAGTGGAGTATAACGATACTTATAATATCATTTCACCAAACTAGGAATCTGAAGGAGAAAATCAAGAAAGACGGACAGTAGAAGATGAAATAGTCTTGAATACAGACTACATGCAGATTGAACATGAAACGTCGAAAATCGGGTCAACTGGAGAAATGCAAGACAATGGTAAAGTTGGAGAGGATGGCAGTAGAAATCAGCAAAGGCAAGAGATTGAAATACAAGATGAAGAAGACGAAGATGAACTTGACGAGGGAAGAGAAAAAGAAGAAGAAGAAACAGAAGAGGAGGAAGTAGAGGTAGAAGAAGAAGAAGAGGAAGTAGACGTAGAAGAAGAAGAAGTGGAAGTAGACGTAAAAGAAGAAGAAGAGGAGGAGGAAGAGGAAGTAGAGATAGAGGTGGATGAAGCAGATGAATACGAAGAAGAAGAAATAGAAGAAGAGGAAGAAGATAGTGAAGAAAATGAAAATGTGGGAGCAAATGAAAGCGGGAGCAGTGAGGCAGAAGCTGAGGACGAGACAGATGAGGAAGAGGAAAGTGAAACTGAAAATATGAGAATAATATAAGAAATTAAAAAATTGTTGTAGTAACAATTTAAATCGGTAAATGAAGTGGAAAAGGAAGAAAATGAGAAAATACGAAACGACACCTTAAACAACGTAGACGATGGTGACGGTGGTAAAAACAACGAAATGAAACGAAGTTTAAATACTAATTGGAAAAATGAAGTAGAAAAGATCAGCGATGAAGAGTACGGGTTGCCTTATAGCGAAAAAATGATTCGGAACAAGCAAACCCAAAATAATAATTGATTGAATCAGTGTTTACCAATCTTCAAGATTTGTATACTTCAAGATAGAAGAGCTACTTAAAAGTTCGTCAAAAATTTAATGATGAAGACTAGAAACATTGGTCAAGCACTGCCAAACACCTAATAAGTTCATAAGAATCGAATTTACCATATGCTTGAATTATGATCTGTTCTATCCAACATTTCATTAAATCAGAAATTTGTTAATTGGAGGGGCCAAGTAAGAGGCAGTGCTTTACGTACATGTCCAATAGCGTCATTGTTTCATGAAGATCATGAGATCTAGTACTATACATTGTATTAGACACTGTGCAACTATCAACAATGTTATGGTGTTCACTCCCTTTTGGGTATCGCGATTGGCAAGCACTGATCTACATGCTTGTGCATATACTATTTATTTCAGTTAAACACGGTTCAGTATTTTTTATTATGCCAAATCCTTAATCATAATTTTTGTCGTTCATTTTTTTAACGTTCAATGATCTATTTTATATGGTATCCTATGTATAGTATTCACGCTACGTTCTAATGGAAATTTTGTAATACTGTAGTTTATAGAGTCATTTAGTCAGTAGCATTGTCATTTTCATACCTATGCTTGATCATGCAATTCTATAATATTGTGCAATATACAAATATTGGATGCAATTCCAAATAGTAATTTGTATTACGCGAGACATTTATTATTTTTAGAGCAAACGAAATTCAAAGACGAACAAACTTAATACCTCTTAAAAGCCAATAAATATAAATAATTTGTTTAGTTGCATGATATAACTACACGAGAGAGTTAGCAATGCATTATAATATTCACCATTCATTTTTTCGTGTAATTAGTATGAAAACAAATTGTTAGTACTGTTATAAATTACCTACAAATAAGTAGAAGTTATTGTCAAATCATAACTTGCAAATAATTCGGGAAATTGTTAAATTTACAAATTATATAGAAAATATACATACATTGAAAATAATATAATTTTGCAGTTATTTATTATATACATGTTATAAATTTTACATTTACAACATATAAGCGAATTTTTTTGGTGACTACACTGACAACACTTTTTAGCTTTTCGAATCTTCCTGACAAGGTGTATAGTTGATAATTCAGACCAGAATTCAAATTTTACTTTTTCATTTGATAGCATTATTTTGTATTATATCCATATTTATTTTCATCGAAACATTATTTTATAAATATGGAAACCTTATTTGAAAATTACAGATATACAATTTTGATTGATTCATCATCGTATACAAATCTTAACGCACATACATTTATTGTATATATTATTCCATACATTTCCTTTAAAGTATTGTTGATCGAAGATCATACCGAGCTATATACTGGACATAAGCAGTAAGCCACACTTATTTTTATTTTCCATCGTCTCTAACATCTTTGTAATAGTATTTAAAGTACATATATTTTTGTTTTAGATTCTTTTAGATTGATCCATGCTATCATCGACACCGTAACAGCGAGGACATCGGTGTTAGAAGCAGCAAAGACATCGGAACGGATGAATCAATTTAATAAACACGTGTACGTATATATTTCATTAGAAATGGATTTTTTACTGTATACCATTATAAAATAGAAAATAAAAAATTCGTTTCCCATATTAGTTTTTAACTTTGATTATTTTGTTTTCTTTTATGTTATAGTGTACTAAGTACATTTTTCGAAATTAGGTTATATTATCCATTATGTTGCATCTTTTAGTTTGTATGATAGTGTACATAACTATTTTTGAAAAAAATGTACTTAATACATGCTTAATACATTCTGGCTCTCGAATCAAGAATTTGAATTATTCTAAACCGCCATATTGAATTTTAGTTCATCCAAGTCTGCAGCTAGCCCAGATGGCAGTCAAAAAAGTGCCCCCAGTTTTCCCTATAAAGTCGAGGGTCCCTTCACCCTAGTATCCGCGTCTATAATAATACATTAGATGTCAAGTCTACAGTAGAGTGCTTTACCATAGTAAACCCATGCGGGGCCAACCGGCTTAGAATTATGAAGCAGGTAGAGAAAGTGCTCTTTTCCTCTGGTTGGTTGATGCTTCACAGCTAAACAGTGCTGCCTTCGTAGTTTTAGACAGATAGAGGGAGTGACGAGTGAGCAAAAGAGCACGACATATCGGTACAACCACAAGCGAAACAAGTCACACCGACGACCAATGTAGCTTGTCTCACTTTACCATGCTTGCAATTTCACTCTATTCGTGCATCCGTTTGCTTGACGCTCCATCTGAAACTCGCAGCGCGATATTCCACTTGTACTTTTCGCACCGTAGGATTCTCGACCACACAGTCCAGCGTATTTGGAAACGTCTTGAAACGACGGTCACTTCTACAATTATTATAATTTTCGAAAACCCGTAAGATACATTTCAGCTAATGGTTTCTACTTTATGAATCTACAAAATGTTGTTAATTCAGCCATCCAAGGACTTGTCAACTGGGACTGCCAGTAATCAATATTCTACTATACGAGAAGGAGTTTTGAAAGCAACGAATAATTTCACAATTTTATACGATGTTTACTTATAAAAATTCGGGAAACAAAGCTGAAACTTGAATTCATATTCTCTTAGAAAGACTACATATTTAATTTAGTAATTACCTGCATAAAAATTCTCAAACTCAGAGTTTTAGAAAATTAGAGCTAAGAATTATTGAAAATTGGAACAATTTGCGATGAACAATTGCTATTTTACAATTATTGAAATTTTCAAAAACCTGTAAGTTACACTCGTAGCTAATGGTTTTTACTTTATGAATCTATACAATTTCGTTAATTCAGCCATCTTAGTACTTATCAACTGGCATAGCCAACAATCAACATTCTATTGTACGAGAAAGAGTTTCGAAAGCAACGAAAAGGGTACGAGTCGGAAGGTATCGGTCATCCATTTATTGCTAGTCCATTTATTTTGTTCCCCGTGACCTCGTTAGGCTATGGGGACTTTCAGAAACGAAAGTTTATGAGGATTTTCAATTAGCAAAATGTATCTTACGAGTTTTCGAAAATTATAATAATTGTAGAAGTGACCGTCGTATCAGAACGTTTGCAAATACGCTGGACTGTATTGGTCGAGAATCCTACGGAGCGAGAAGTACAAGTCGAATATCGTGCTGTGAGTTTCAGATGGAGCGTCAAGCAAACGGATGCGCGAATAGAGTGAAATCGCAAGCATGGTAAAGTGAGACAAGCTACATTG